GCTCTTCGAACAACCCACAGAGCGCTGGAACGACGTCTTCTGAAGTACAACCTACGCACTCGACATCTCGTCGGACTTCGCAGTTCAGATATGAGATCAATGTCTCGTCTTCGCGCGGAATACGTCTCTAAGGCAAAGCATCGATGGGCTGGGCATATAATGAGAAGGCAGACGACAGATGGACCCTAGAACTCAGGAATGGATTTTTCGCGAAGCAAAACGTCCTCGAGAAAGGCCACCGGCCATACGTGTTCGTTGCACGGATGAACCAGCTGAATTCGCAGCTGGTAACGAATAATCGACCTGGACCTCGCGAACGTCGCCGCCGCACTTCAATACCAACATCGTGGATGACGCTAGCGATAGACAGGAATGGAAATAGTGCGGCGGCCTGCAGAGAAGTGAAGACAGACCATCTAAGTATCTAAATAAGTAAGTAAGTAAGTACATTCATTTCGCACTAGAGCCTCACCTTTCCTTTGAAGAGGTTGCACTAGATTTTTGAAAAGAGTTTTCTTCAAAGTATTCATCCAGTCTAATTTTTCGATTCTTTCTTGAGCGAAAATACGTCTTAGTATAGCTCAAGTTGAAATTCTTTGCACTGCATTTCTGGCGCTTTTGCACCTGATTGCTTGCATATATGTATGTAATGTCCACATGCCGAAAACAGTGCGTTTTGCGTTGCCTTGCGAAATATGCCGCCGATAAAGTGTGACGAAAGCAAGGTTACAAGATTGCCATCCTTCTTGTAGATTACTACACTATCTTCGGGACAAGCCTTAGCGCATTATTTAGCGCTGTCCCACTTTCTCTGGAAATCTCCAAATTTTGTATTTCGCCAATTCCTTGCGTAGACGGATTTTAGACGTGATGATGATATCGTAACCGTTCCGCATGCTCTCTCCATTGTATCGGATACGGAGGAATACGGCAACGTGCCGGAATCACTGATTTGGCGCAGTGGCCGAAGGGGGTTATCTACATGCGATCACAAATATCATGCCCGTTTCATGGTAATGTTACCTTTGGGGCAAGGTGGGTGTACAGTAAGGATCAAAATCACAAGTCTACTATAAAGCGCTATTATGCGAAATCATACGATACTAGAGAAAGCATTCAAATAACCTTATTAAAGAAAAAGAGAAGACTGTGATGCCCCCTCGCAAATTTTTTTGACCCTGCTAAAGTTGAGCAAAATCCCACGGTATAGTCCTCTCATTAAAATCCGTTTTTGAAGAGTAGATTCACTAGATATATACACACATTACACACGATATTTATATTATAAGGTGCCTTTATAGAAAAATTTCTAGTAGGCGAATGTTGGAAGAAACTGCACCTGCACTTTGTCAACAAATGAGCGAGCTGCTGGATCTTCATCGTATTGCGCTATGGCCTGCAATCAGGATTTCGAACAGGATTAGCTCGTTCACGATACAGTGGTATTCACTTTCAACAAGCCTTTGGTGATGGCAGGCTTCAAACCATTAGAATAAACAACGCATAATACACAGGCAAACAGCAAGATGACAACAGCTAACGACATAATGAGAATTTTTTCCTGCAAAAGTTTGTACAAAATCATCATGCTGCCTTAAAGTAAAAACATACGGTAGATGTTTTTAGGGAAGCTCTGAGTCGCACCACTTCTTGTCCTCGTATTACGTTTATGCTCATTGTTTGGAAAAACAACACAAAACATCCCAGTGCACTTACACCTAGCGCTTTTCGATTGACTATGGGTAAATGCTCATCCAACAGCGTAATAATATTGATCCTGAACAATTTCAGAGAGACTGGCTCCCTTCTGTTTTATTACTCACTTCGAGAGTGCAATGTAGGAGTAGATTTCAAGTGATATGAAGCAACAAAGAGAGAAAACTGAGAATGTAAGAGCCCACACAGCTGCCATACGAAACAACCATCTACGCTTCACCGTAGCTCTACAGCTTAGCAGAACCATTATAAGCTCGAAACTTCGGCCGGACTGAATAGCATTCGATTTCAAATGATTTCATCCAACAAATGAAGTAATACCACC